GCGGCATGCGAGGCGAAGAGATAGGATATGATCTCATCGAAGTTCGGGTTCGAATACACCCATCCCCATCATCGCCGCCGGACCGGTGTAATAATAACCCTGCGATGTTGATATTGATGATGAGAGAAGCTCTCCCTTCCTGTGTGAACGGCCCACCTGGTGGAAACGCAACACCGAGGGTGTCTATGCGAGAACGAGCACTATGTCAAAATAATGATGCCTGCCAGCAGAGGTGAACAGTATCCCCCATCCAGTAGGGTGAGGGGCTGGTGGGAGGGGCTGTGCTTAATCGGGGCGTGATGGAAGGCAAATCCGAAGACAGCGCCTGCGAGGATCCCGGAGAAATGGCAATTAATAACCCCCGGGAAGGAATTCCGATAGCTTGTGTGTCTCAGTCTACCATGCTGGGTGTCATGGCACTAGGGGGTTCAGTTCGACGCTCGGAAGTCCACTCCACCCAAGTGAAAGGCGAAATAGTAGAGACGCCTCCATTTTTCGTAAGGCTTAATTAGACCATTCCAAGAGCATGAGAAAAGCGCTGCACAAATCAGTGTGCCAGCTCTCTACATATGTGGATCTGTGAAAATGCTCAGGGAAGTTATTTTCGTGTTTCGGTGATACTGTGAGAGACTCTCGGGAATATCAAGCGAGGGGGTCAGGCAGGCATTTAACAGGCTGCAGGTGTGGTGTCCACTGTGAAAGGTTTCAGATATCATCCGTGGCGGGTGGAACTTGTTACTGAAATGACGGTATCTAGTGTGAAAACCCACACGAGTAGCTGATGATTGGGTATAATTCGAACTCCTTTATGAATCAGATAATCGAAATGAACGCTGGGGAAAGGGACATACGCCGGCCAAGACGACCACGAGTGGCTGGCTGTTGGATTGCCCTGGAGAGGCAATATAGCCGCAACGTAACATCGTGCAGGGTTTGGGGGCTGTTCCAAAGATGGTCCGGCGACAACAGGCACAAGCGAGTGTCGGCAAGGGTCGGCGCTGGTCGGCGGCGGCGCGGCCGGGGCACGTGACCACGATGGATCATAATGAGGCGCTGTTGGGTTCTGTGCTTTAACCTGCACATCCACTGACAACGGCGAAGAAGAAGTGTAGATTTTGTGCTCCAACGGTACGGCCGCCTCTTAGCCAAGCGATGTCTACCAGCGAATACTGACCACATATCCAGCATATCACACCGACCCCGGGCGGGGACGGGCGGACGGAAACGGTCGGCAAAACCAGTCAATGAGGGAACAGCGTTGTTTCTAAACCTGTTGTTTACTGCTCAAGTGACCTGGCATATTCCTTAAAATATTCAACCAGACCTGGATCACTCCGCTTTTGCAAGGCATCCCCAAAAATTTACAACGCACCATCTGACATTTGTGGTCGTGTGCATCATCTTCCATTACCATGAAGGGCTGTTTGAAATCACCCGCATTGACGCCTGGCAGCGAATGCCTGCGGAAATGCGTCGCCTTTGGCGCCGAGGGCTCGGAAGAGATCCACACTGCCGACGAGTGGGATCGTACGCCCATGGAACCCGCCCGTCACTTATCATACAGGTATGCTCTGGGCACTCATTTTCATCCCCTATACTGAGACATTATGCAGGGACCTTTTAGAGTTGAAAGAAATACAGCGATCATTGCCTCGCGCAAACCAATTGTCCGATCCTGTCTCGGGAAAGCCTGCCTCCCACTTTTTATCAGCAGTACCCATTGGTTTATTACCACTGCTCTCCGAGGGCGAGTCCGGAGGCTCCAGAGACTCCTCCGTAGCCCCCTCACCCGTAACGTCGCCACCATCGTCGTCCCCGGCAACCCCTAACTGGGGCTCGCCCATCCTACGACCCACGGACATTCAACCGTTGGGGTCGCGCTTTGTGACCCCGCAATGGCATCCGCCTCACCTTGCCCATCTTATGCCAGGAAAACCTGTGGCCCAACGTCAGAAGCCCAGATTTGCTTTTGTTCCCCTGCTCGACACACCCCCTACGTCTGCGCTATCTTCTCCGTACCCCTCAAACCCACCCTCTCGCAGCCCGTCACCAGACCTGCCAGCAGCTACGGACCATTTCCAGGATCCTCCCACTCCATCCCTTACCGACGCATCACAAGACAGTAGCCCCATTTCTCGTGCTTCATCATCGTCTCCAGAACCCTCGTTGTTCTCGCTTCCTCCCCTGCGCAAAGCCCCTTCTAATCACTACGATTCTTACTTTCCGACCTACGCCGATGAGCGCGGGTTTAGCTCCTCCCGTTCTTCGCCGGTCTCCCCTGGCTTTCCAACAATGAAGCTTGAGGCAATCCCCTCACCCGCCCTCTTACCGCCATCACCGCTGATTTTAGACGCAGCGAAACAATTTCCTTCGAATCCACCCAGTAAGGATGTGCTCTTCGCCTCGAAACCCATCCGAAGGCGGAATTTTATCCTCGTGAACGACGTCGAAATTGAACTTGACGCTGATGATGACGACGAAGTGCAGTCAAACCCGGACCCGCCGGTAGTGAAGTCGGATCCATGCCCCTACCCCACTCCTACTTCTACTCCCCAGTCCAAGACGGTCAGCTTGCCACCCTGCTCCCCGACCCAGCCAGCGGTGACGGCCGAGGAAGTTGATGGCCCAGTGCCATCAACACCCCGCTCGCCCGACCGCCAGAGCTCCACCCCCCGGTCTGGCCCTGTGTGTGTGCCCTAGACTTTATGATGGCGGGGGTAAACCACTGCAAACGCAGTGTATGCGGAACTGATTTAAGACCCTCTCGGACATAGAGCGGCCTGTCATGAATCATAACACCGACCACCCCCGTCCACGCCAAGCCCTTTGCATTTATACTAAATACATCAACCCATCCCACATCCGTATCTCCTCGCCATTTGACTATCGCTCCCTATCCTTCTTTTTTGTCTTCGTTATCAAACCAACAGCCATCTTCCGCCGAACCTGCACCTGCACACGTTCCTGCATATATTTAGCACAACACACCTGGACGTCAATCATTTTATCACATTCCAATCCTACTTGATCTCTGTATTTACTGGCTCACTGACTCTCCGTATTCCTATCGAATCCGTAAACTATTTGTTGTCTTAGTCGTACATAATCAACGTTAACCCACAGGCTCGCGTGTTTCTGTGGGAATGAACGTGTTTATCGTCCATTCCCGCTCGATGAGACCCACTGGATCGGGTTGATCATGATGGGGGATAATCAGCCCTTCCTGGATTACGCCGTTTAATGGGTAACATCCGATTTCACATTTATATGTACATCCGCGGGGGGTTGGATTATCCATAATGCTCCGCTAGTGATTACACATTGTGATATGAATCTCCACCCGCTTTTTGATCGAGCCGAATCGCTTCTTCAAGGCCTGCGGGGCAAGCGTGAGTGATACGTGCTGTACCGAGACATGGGTGTGGGTCTATCACTAACCCATAACTTCAAAGAACTGCCTGGGGCCCATTCCCCTTGCCGTCGGCACATCCGAACCGCAATTCTTCAAAGACTCTAGGGCTTCACGGATCGCGTGAACGGCCGACACCGCAGAGATTAGGGGGAAGACTGGGAGTAATTTACAGCCACCAATCGGCCGATCGGGTACACTGGTACTCACTGACCATCTTGACCCCAAGCTCTTTGGCGTCCTGAGTTGTAAAATCTGGGGTAGAACCCCCAGTGACAATATTCAAGAGGACCTTATGAGGAATCACCAAGGGCACATAGAACTGGAATAGTGAATACTAACTGGTGTTGGCGCCATCTCTCTGACGGTCCGTGCGACGTCCGCCCCGCTCCGGACGCCCTCCAGGAATGCGACTGGTGCGAAGGTCAGAACAGTGAAATTTGACGGGGGAAAAGATGTACCGTCAGCTCCCGCGGCGACGGCGGCTTTCAATCTCTTCAGTGCCTCGTCCATCCCCTCGCCTTGTGCCGCGTCTGACCGAGCTATAAGCACAATATCGCACCCTGGGATGGCGGCGCGCGCGGCAACGGCAGCACGAATTCGGGTGACATATTCCGATACTGGTACGAGCTGCTTGCCTAACAAATGGCCGCATCTTTTTGATTGGACCTGCGACCGTCTAAAAGAATACCCTTAGGAATACACAAAATATAATACCTGGTCCTCAATATGCAATGCCGCGACTCCGGCACGAGCATATGCTGTCACTGTGCGTGCGATCATAACAGGGCCGCCAAAGCTGTGGGCAGTCAACTATTGCTGTCGCGTGGGGTGTTAGCGCTTACCCAGTATCTGCGTCACAGATCAGGGGTGTCTGTGGGGAAAGCCCTGCGATCATAGTCGCATTCTGCCCACATGAGTGAGGGTGGGAGTGAGAAACGGGAGATCAACCTGGACGAAATCGTTTTGTGTTGCAATAGCCAAGTCGGGCTGCCCGAGCATGGATGCTGTGGTAGCAGCACCGCTCATATACAGCGTAGTGAACCCTGCCTGGAGCGCGAGGCGTGCAGAGATCCCATCGAATACACCTTTACAGACATGGTACAGATCAAGAAATGCCCAATTTCACTAGGGTCTTAACCAACCAGGTGATACCTAACGAACGGAGATAGCTCAGTTACACCGGCAAGCCCAAACAATCCTAGTGATCACCCACGATGAGACCATCCTGCTGCAACAACTGACGAAGCTGAGTGCTTGATCTGCTGGGGTGGTCCATGAGATGAATGGGAAGTAGACCAAAAGGAATGACCACGAGTGAGCGCTACCACTGCGCAGGAGCACTGGCATGGGTAAATCCCAAGCTCCACTGTAGTCAGGATGCCACGCCAGCCGTGTCCGGATGGCATGGGACTTGAATATGACCTTTTGAGGTTGCTGCTCAGTACTCAGTGCCCACGTCTTCCCACAAAACCTACTACCAAATGATGGAGCTTGGACAACCATCCCCAGTTTTAGCCGGTGATTCCGGCGAAATGGTTTTGGAGATGTTGAGAACGGCGGAAGTCGAATCAAACGGAGCGAAAAAATCCGACACCAGGAGGGTTCGAACCTCCGCCCTCAAAGAGGAACAGATAGTGAGTAATTCAAATCTGTCGCCGTAACCACTTGGCTATAGTGTCTGGACGGCGAACGCCATATCGGCGGATCGGACCGCCGTGGTGCAGTATGTGCCATTCCCACTTGCATCGTATATCTACTTATAGGGACATGCGCACATCGTGATTGAGGTTTATGAGAATCATGACTTAGTCCATGACATTCGAACCAAGGAATACGAGTTACAAGAAGCTGAGCGATCTAAGAGGGTAGTGGGTTTCGCCCATTGAGAGTAGTTAGACGATATTGGATCGTTGCATATGACCTTCGAACACCAGTCATTCACCCCCGGCCCGGGACCATGGTTCTACTAGCCATCATTGGGTCATCAGATTCGAGTTTGCTGGTGGAGGGGGACAAAAGGAGTGTGGGGAGTTCGGTACCGGCTACTACTAGTGGGTATGATCTTTTTGGTGTACTGCTGAAAGCGCAAGTTGTAGCTCCTCTAACGAATACCCAGTGATAGGATGATCCGCATCTCTCAGCCGCTGCAGTCCATCTACAACCCAGTTCTGGCAATTCCAGCGGAGGTTTCCCTTATCAACGGGCGTGTCCTGTAAGATGGTCGATAATGATGTACTCTCAGGCCCTGAGACCCAATCCTGGTGAACCTTTCCGACCAGCACCCGGCCTAGGTATTCCTGAGTTTCGAGCAATTTGATAGACTCTGGTTGCTTGACGCTATAGGTCAAAGTGGACCCGGTGACCTGATACGCCACTCCATGGAGGATTTTGGGCTCAGTCATGACGACAATCGCCCAGTGCTTGGCTCCCAGAAGTTGTGGGTGGCCAAAATGTGCGACGTACACATCCAAAAATCCGAAACCCATGTCTACAAGCTACTAGTAAATCAATTTAAATAATCCGTTCACTGAGGTTATCTGGCACTTACATACCTAATAGGTTTTGCTTGATCTTTTATCTCGAGGACGACCGTGGTGATGCACAAAAAGCATCAAATGATGACTCGGAATCGCACCCTGTTATCCGGAAATCGTTCTGAGTCGTATTGGGCGCCTGTAGTCTCCCATAATCAGACAATGGGCGGGGGGGATGATCGATAATCGTTCCTGTGTATTGGGCGCTTGCACAGATGGAATATTTTGTCTGCTGACAGAAAGCTTAGCAGGTCCCTCCAAGCCCGAAATCCGAGACTGTCTGGGTAGCCGACACCGGGGGCTAGAGCCTGAGCCTGTTCGTCACCGTCACGCCCTTGTTCCTTGAGGAAAAACACCCCCATGTCCACAAGTCCAGTAAAATCTTCAAATACCTTTGTATTCCACTACAATCAGTGAGCAGTGGTACCCTTGTTGGTTTCGTTCCAGAGCCACAAAAAAGCATACTCGTCATTTTAGTCAAATGCATTCACGATTAGGTACCGGTGGCACGCCAAGACCTCGTTTATCAAGTATATCAGTTCGTCCAGTGTCATTTTGCGGTGACTGACTTCAACTTTAAAGTTTGTGGGTGCATGTGTGCGTCAATATTTCATCACCAAGTGCTAATTGATAATCATTGGAACCAGCGTGTATTCGGCAGAATGGGCGCCTGCTTTATCGAATCAGCAAGCATGCCCTTCCCAACTTGAAGTACAGTGGTGATCATGAGCCTGAGATCATGCTATTTATACGGCGCCACATTTCGATTCTGGTCCCGAAAATGTATGACCATTAAAGGCCAGCATCTGAAGGACTCGGAACGATTATGCTTATGGAACGGGTCGACGCATACCCTTGGGACCGCGTGGCAATACCTAAGCTGTATTGAAGGTTTCTCAGTTAGGATGTTGTTTGGTGCAGCTGCCTAATATCGAGAATCCCCATTGGCACCCCTGATGGTCAATCCATATTGGACGCATTATTGTCGCATAAGCAAGCGCTGTGAACCATTCGAATCTGAGGCGGGATCCAACGACTTTGGTGTCTAGATTCACATTCTTGGAGTCTGGCCGCGCTGAGCTGGAGGAACTTGAAAATTTTGTCGACCAATCCCTTCGGCGTTGGGTTGTCTTGCCCACTTAGACCTTATACCTCATAATATCCTCATCGATTCAAGTAATGACTTTACTTCTCTAATCGACTAGGAGATGGCATGATAGATGTCGGAACAGTGGATGGGCCTGGCCTGATAATGGCCCCATCGGAGGCTTATGACAGGGTCCTAAAACACGCGAGGATGCGCGGAACACATGGAACACCACATTGAAGGTTGTTACTTGATAATTTACAATAGCCCCGTATTCAATCCATCGTTCCACCTTTAGGCTGGCGGCTGGATCAGACCTGGTCTATGGCGGTTCCAAAAATCAAGTTTACAGGAGTTGTGACAAACTGTTCACCTAGCTGTACACATCGCCGGGCTATGTAACAGAATTTAGTATTCACAATTTTCGGTCGTGTGGGGGACACGGGTACTGGACTAGATGGTGAGTTCGATATCGCCCACTTGCGGGACAAATCACAATAATTCAACTTGAATTATAGAATTACAACTGCTTGTGATTCGACTCCCACCTCGATGCTCTTCCCTAGATATAATTATCTCTCTGGGCAGTGGAGAGGGCCACCTGCAAGTCCTGAAGGGAGAATTGTTTTATATCATGCCCTGCTTCCCTTAATCGCTGGAGGCCGGCGATAACCCAGTTTTGACAATTCCAGCCAAGGTTTCCGGTCACCACAGGCGTCTCCTGCAAAATGGTCGGTAATGAGTTGCGTCCCGTCCCCGCAACCCACTCCTTCTGAACCCGGCCGACTTTGACCCTCCCGAGATACGTGCGAGAGCCATCGACTTTGATTTTCTCTGGTTCTTTGACGGCGTATGTCTTTGTCGATCCGGAAATTTGATAAGCAACTCCTCGATATTGATGTGGCTCTATCATCACGACTATCGCCCAATGTTTGGCTCCAGGGAGGCATGGATGACCATAGTGTGCAACATAAATCTCGTATGACTCGTTCATCTGGATAGCCGAATTAAATCAGTGCTCGGTTGAACGAGAGCATGGGCGTACTTTGAATGCGAATGATCCAGGGCTCCATTATCTCTTGGTGAGCACCTCTCTCGTATATATCCAACTGGTTCCCCACTGCCCCGTGGGCCATGTTCTGCCTCGTTTTTATCGCGCGGACCTCCCAATATAAAATCTAAATACTAGCATGGAGTCTTTATGCTTAATACGCATAAACTATAGCCTAACAGTCCTGGATGAGGACACCACAGGGATTCGAGCATCGTGTACGGGTTCACACAATTGAAGCCAGGTTTCCACTTCAAATTAGGCTCCGATTTCCGAATCAAACGCGCGATGTGATTTAGTGTAACTATGTAAAAAATAATAGTAAATCGAATCCTGCATCCACTTTTCCATATTGACGCTGGCCAGGCGAACACCACCAGTGGCAGTGGTTTCACCCGGCGTCATCGGCCCGGCTCATGTACAGCTCCGACTCTGAGTCTAGCTTGCTGCGGATGACACAACTAAATCTCAACTACTCCAGAACCAAACCTGAAAGTCTGCGCGCGTCCAGCTCTACATAACGGGACGCAGTACTTTGCTGCGCCAGCATTATGTTCAGATTCAAGGAGACACTCCCGCTCACGGTTAAATGCAGCTACGAAGGGAGAAGTAAGCGGGTGTACCTTCAAACTGTAGCAGACATGTGTTATGGGACGCTCAAGAGAAAGGTCCGTCTCGGTCTCTTTTCTTGTTTGCGTAGTTTGATTTGGTGATACATCAATCATAGGTGGAAGAGACAGTTGTGCTCAGCGCCGCCGTACCGTTCATCATCAGATATCTGGACGATGAATCGAAAGAGTATTGTACAATCGCGGATGACCAAGAACTGCATGAGGCCGTGAAGTATTTCAGTTCCGGTTTCGACGATTTACCAGTCTCGTCAAATGCGTCCACGCAATCAGGGCGAAGTCGTTCTTCGAAAAAGGTCGGCCTGGAGGTCGAGATCGTTCGGGACTGCGATGTCAGCCTTTCCGATTCCGGATCGCTGGCAAGCTTGGAGGAATATCGCGAGAGGAATCTGAGTAACCGTTCCCTTACATTCCCTGACAGAGGCGAACCCGAAGATGACTGTGTTACAGTCAGCTCAAGGAACCCCCAAAGCGAGGCTTCTTTGAGGCCCAGTGCAGCGACGAGACGGGGCAATTCATGGCTCAGGCTACCCCGCCTGGCTTCCAAATCTAGCAAACTGACACGGAACACCGAGCGCGCTTCATCCCGCAATTCATCTACCTACGAAGAGTCAAGACCGACCACTTCCCAGGACAATCTCTTATCTGTCTTTGAGCGCCTTAAATTAGAGGAAGATGGACCTACACCCGGGGTTCAGCCATCTGTCGCTGATGACCGAAGGGTTGCATGGGTGCAAGAGCAGCAGCGGCAAAAGCTCATGCCTTGGGCTGTGAATAGGTCATCCGAAGGTGATGACGAGGCATCTTCCCTAGACCTGGGCTCCCAGTTAGATGGCGATTTCGAGTTGGAACGGGCTTCTAGTGGAAGATATTATTATAGTTATACTTCTTCACAGGCATATGATGATGACGGGACGCAGATAAGCGGCCTTCCCGAAGCTCTAAGAGCGCGTCCTTCCTCTATGCAATTAGACTGGCTAGCGGACCAACAGGCTGGGCCCAGCTACAGACGCCCGACACATGTGCAATCCGCCCCATCATTCTATACCGCATCCACGGATACCCTCACTCAATCCAGACCACCCGAAGATATTCTTACAGATTGCTCTAAGTGCCATAATCTCTTGGACACGTTTCGATATGTCTGCGTTATCTGCGGCCCAAAGACACCCCTTCAACACATCCCGGACGGAGGCAAGGATAGCCAGATCCCCACTTCATTCAATTACCCGCCACCTCAACGGAGAGTTCTTTCCGACCCACCCCTCTCATGTACTCGAATTCGTCTCGGATATTCTCGGGGAGCACAAAGTCGTTGGGTAACATACAAAAACCTATCCAGAACTTGGCTATTCCGAATTCAAACCATTCAGATGAT